TGCCAGGAACTATGTATTTTTACAGACACAGTCCCTACTCTCAAGTAACTTATATTTTAGATGGCAGGATGAGAAGCTCACATGAATTAGGATAATACCGACGGACTCTGGCAAGCTTCAGAGGAGCCTGGCAGTAGCAGTGAGGTTCAGTCTGAAAGTCACTGAGTTGGGGACTGGTGGGGCTGCATGCAGGTGTTCTCTGACAGCCTTCTGATTGAGACAACTCCACCCAGAATTCAGAACTGGGAAAGCCCCAGGTTACGAAACCAGCCTCATTTTCCAGTCAGGCCCTGGCGAATTGCTGAGAACCATAGAATCTCAGACTTGGAAGGGATCAGAAAGGTCCCTGAGCCCCTCCCTGTCTGATGTCTGAATTCTACCTACAGGACCCCTGGCTTTCTTTTTTTTTTTTTTTTTGAGACAGAGTTTCACTCTTGTCACCTAGGCTAGAGAGAAATGGCACCATCTTGGCTCACTGCAACCTCTCCGTCTCAGGTTCAAGTGATTCTCCTGCCTCAGCCTCCTGAGTAGCTGGGATTACAGGTGCCTGCCACCACGCCTGGCTAATTTCTGTAGTTTTAGTAGAGATGGGGTTTCACCATGTTGGCCAGGCAGGTCTTGAACTCCTGACCTCATGATCCACCCACCTTAGCCTCCCAAGGTGCTGGGATTACAGACAGCTGTGAGCCACCACATTCGGCCAGACCCCTGACTTTCTTAAAGACCTCCAGAGAGTCACCACAAAAGCAGTCTGTTTATCCCATCTTTGGATGCCTGGGACTGTCAAACCTTTCTCCTTTGAGCTTGGCTGCCACCCCGATACAGAGCTCTGCCATTAAGGCCACCTGGGCACGCCCATCCTTCTGTGGCCTGTTTCGGGGGTTGCAGTTCATTGACACTGACTGCCATGTGCCCTGCACCAGGTCTTCTCTCCTTAAGGCTACACAGATGTTCCTATCCCTTCCATGATTCCTCAGGGAGGTGATCTTGAGTTTCTCCTCTGCTCATTCTCAGAAATCACTAGGATTCCTTAGGGGAGGCTTAACAAGTAACAGCCTAACAACCAGAGCACTTGACTGACCGTTGCAAAGACAAGCAGACCATATGGCTTAAGTTCAAAATGATCACAGGAAGTTGGGGCACAGGTTGACACATGGCCCTGACTGGACAGGAAAACTACCAAGTTGATTTCCCCCAGGGTATTACTAAAACACACCTTCTCCACCCTGTGCTTGTGGAACAGTCTGCTTGGCCTTGTACAGGAAAGCTCACCTCTCTCCTCAACTGACCCAGACTTTAGAAAAATCACTTTGCAGCCAGTCAGATGGTAATGGACAGGAAAAAGAGGATGCATACAGAAAGTGGAGAAGAGCAGCAAAGAAACAAAGGGAAGAGTTCCCAGCCCACCAGTAAGCCATACCAAGTGCCATCGTTTAAAGACTTTCTCAGGAAACAAAAACAGAGACCGGATGTCTAAAACCTTTATCCAAGAGAGCTGTGAAGGGACGTGGAATTGGAAAGGATGGGGGGAGGTATGTTTGCAAGGCCAGACAGTGCAGGAGGAGACAGAAACCTGAGCAGAGGGTACTGGGCACATCCTACTCGACCAAAGCAGATGTGTTAATGCTGATGAAATGACATGAGCCAACAGACACCTGAGGACACCTATGCCAGGAAGGCTGGCCCTGCGACCAGCGAGAATCCAAGACTCAATAGTTTTGCAGAAGCCAAGCTATGCCTTTGCTAACTAAGCTCTTCATTTATTTGTTTATACCTGTCTGTACCACAAACAAAAGAAAACAAAACAAAACAAAACTGGAGGCACTTCAAAGGATGCACAAATTAACGTAGAAACGTAAGAGTAAAAATTAGGACCAAGAAAGGAATTTTGTGTATATTGTCTTACTCAACTTCTACATTTCACAGCTGAGAAAACTGGGACTCAAAACAATCAAGTCACCTGCGTAGGGTTTCACCATTACTAAGTAGCAGTTAGATTTGAATTGAGGTAAAACATTTCAGCTCTTTCCTCTCTGCACCATGCTGCTTTTAACTTTGGGCTTCTCTGTGGACACTCCCTACCCAGGCAGACAGCAGAGTGGTCAGGAGCTCAGACTCTGAAACCACACCGCTGAGTTCAAGCCTGGGCTTCACCACGTACTGCTGCGGGTGACCCTGGGCAGGTTACTAAATCTCCCTGCTCCTCAGTTTCCCCACCTGTGAGATGGGGATGATTGTGCAACTACATCCCCAGGAATGTGATGAGAGTTAAATGAGCTAACATTGCTAATACACTTTTAGAACACCTCCTGGTACAAAGGAGCACTAAACTACATTATAAACTAGCAAGCTAAACTAGACATTAACTTGGGTGAGCAGCTCAACCTTTCAAGCCATCATCTGTAAGATGGAGAT